AGATTTTTTTTGTGCTTCTATGTAAGTTGTTATTAATTTGGAAATTTGTACTTAACTAGCCCGGAGAGGTTGCAACTCGTGCCTTTCCTTGGGGACTTTGTACTATTGTCTATTGCTGATTAATAAAATTATTTCAATTATCAAAAAAAAACTTTAAAACAAAGCATAAATGATATATGTAGCATATGATAGAACTTATAAAAACACATTATAAAGATATAGCAATATGAATGATTTTATAAGGTGCCTGCTTTGTAATTTGTTGCCTAGAGGGGCACCAAGTTGCCTATAATAGGCACCATGTTGCTATAAGTCAAGGTGTTTTAAGTGTTTTACAATAAGAAGAAAGGCATTTTGGCAGGTGAGGTGCCCAGACAAGTGCCTAGTCATCTAAGCAACACCTTGACAACCATGAATAGAACAGACATGCTCTGCAAGATTCAACACATGGCTAATCTGGAGACCTATCCTGTGAATGGTCTTGATTGGAAAACAGAGTTCCACTATGTTTCTTATGAAAAAGAGGCCCCCAAATGGTTTATATAAGCTTTTCATGGTTTACATGTAATAAAATCATATCAATTGTCTAAAATTGTCACTTATATATGGTAATTAAATATACTTTGATAAGAGAGAGCAAAAGAAGCAGGTTTTTTGTTATCAGTTAAACCAAATAATCCTGATAAATGATAGGGTTTATTTGGGATCTTAAATCACAAATAAATGGTCTGGGTCAGGACTAGGCCTATRAGTTTTTTATTGGTTGTTAGGACACCCATTGACCGGCCTATTTGCATTGATCCCTGCATGCTAATAAACTGGCAATTAATTGCCTTTACATCTCCTTTCCAATCCCTCACAGACAACTCCTCATCACATCATTTCATTTTCTGGACTAGCCTGCCTTTACTTCCAAAAGGTTACATTGGAAGACAAAAACAAAATTAAAAGAAAAAAAGAGTAAATAGTGTCAAGATGCTTTACCAGATGCTTGAACCATTGCTTTCCTTGAAGACCCGTTGCATCTATGAAACTTCTCTCTGTAAGCATCAGACGATCATTCAATGAACGTCTCTTCAGCTCCAAGTCATCCTTGGTCTCTTGCTCTCTCAGTTTCTGCAGATTTTTCTTTCCAAATGCATCAGAACTAAGGGGGAGCCACAGATAACAGTAAAACCAAATAATAATGTAAATTGTAAAGCATTTTTATTAGATTTCTAATCCTTTCATTAAATTAATTATTTATGCAAGAGTTTGCTCTATCTCACCTTTGCTGCTTCTTCAACTCCTTTGGCAGCAGAAGCAAGTTCATGAATAGATGTAGTAATAGGAAGTAGAGACACATTACCATCCAAAAAACGATTCAATACATTTGTATATTCCTGCATGAGAAAAGCCATGGTGCAGAGAAAACATGTAAATGACAAAGTGCTGAACTCGAGTTAGTTTTCAGTATGGAAATATGATAACTATGATAATCATGAGATACCATTAAGTCATTACGTAAACCCCAGCTTACCATAAAGACTGGGATACAAGTTAACACTCTCCCATTCATAAGTTATTTCATGGCAACATTAGTCCACCATTTAATGATATAACAGTAATAGCCCATAGATTCTTTTGAAACTCAGGATAATACATGAAAAATATGAACCAAAAAAGGAAACAATCAACCGATTGACCATCGGTAATCAGTCATAAGAAATGTAATAATTAAGACTTGTCTTATTCATATACATTATACAACAGCAATACTCCAACTCAGTGACTCTTAGCTATTAGATATTTCAGATAAGGAATAAAAAGACTTCAATATAATTATCAAAAAAATAAAATAAAAAGACTTCAGTATGTAAGTGAAATGGAAGTGTAGATACATACATGCAACTGAGCTGCATAAGAGAGGTAGTTAAAAGGTAAGATTGAATCATCAGCCAAGCGAAGAGCTAAAAGCCCCCACATTCCAGAAACTGGAGCAACATCAAAAACAGAGGTCATCTTGCAAGCAATGATCATGTAACTGCCTCTGTCTACTAACAAATCACTTCAAAAGCTTATTAACAGATAGACAATTTTGAGGACAAACAACATACCAGCCACATGTCGCTGAAAGAATGGATCTCCATAGTTTATCATCCAGTCATAAGAATCAAAAGCAGTATGATATGCTGGATAATCTAAACAAAAATGAAGAATCCATATGATACAAAATCAACTACTATCACAATTATAAAATTACTCATATGGATTATGCATAAAATTGAAATTGCTAAAACCGAAAAAATTAGTATCAAAATTGCCCCTCCATTTATGATATTTCAATTAGTTGATTAAATATCCAGAATTAGCATTTCTTTAAAGTAGCATTGCATGGATTTTCTTAAATGGATGACATGTCCATATTACAAATGCACTGGAGTTTTGACACTCCATGGTTTCTTGAGAACACCTCTATGTAACATTTCCTTTTTTTTATCTCTTAGATTATTTATCAACAATGAACAGCTAATGTACAAGATGAATGCCATTTTTCATATTGAACTTTACTTGGTAAGAAAGACAACATTTTAGACCCATTTTTTGCATTTAAATAATGTTAGAATTCAAAAAAAAAAAATGAACTATTTTAGTAGCATGTACTTTTGCATAGATGTGTCCACCAGTCCATGTTTTCTTATCTTGCCAAGTCAGACACTTGGACACACCTCATATTCTGACTCCTGTGTCTGTCCATGCAACAATGCTTTAAAGTCTAAAACTTATCGGTGCCATAAAAGTTTTAATCAATGATTTCTTCTCTAACATGTACCTTTTCCATAATACATATCAACAGAAGGAACCCCAACATGTTGCAAAAATGGAGCATAATCTGAATCAACTCCACTGAGCCGCTGGATCTGGAATATAAACAAACATCAATACCAATTACTAAATTCCACAGATTTCTATGGAAATACATAAAGTCCATTATGGACATCTGATCAAGAAAGAAGAAAGAATAAGGTCAGAATGAAGAACAAATAGAAACACTGTATGCAGTGTTTAGTATTGTGTCAGGAAAACCTTAAAACAACTATTTTCTGCTTCCTGGAACAGAAAATTAGTGGAAATATTTCTTTAAATGTTACCAAGTAGAACCTAATATACCATTTATCTCAGGATACATGCATACATATATACAAACATATATGTGTAGGTAGACTATAAAAAGCATATTGTTTTGATGAGCAACAGAAAATTTTTGTTGATATGTCTAATAAAATGATGTTACAGGAATGATATGCCAAGCACCCCATGTAAGTAGTAGCTAGCCCTGGGAAGATCATAAGAAGAGTAGAAATCTGCAGAAACAAAAAACTGTAGAAAAAGATGATGGAAAAAAGAAGAAAAAGAATAGAGAAAAAAATGAGAGAGCAATCAGATCTGACCACCCTTTCCCATTGGTATTTATACTTTAAGTAAAAAATAAGTACAATGACTAATATGCCCTTATAGGGCGACCATGTAAGTAGTAGCTAGCCCTGGGAAGATCATAAGAAGAGTAGAAATCTGCAGAAACAAAAAAACTGTAGAAAAAGATGATGGAAAAAAGAAGAAAAAGAATAGAGAAAAAAATGAGAGAGCAATCAGATCTGACCACCCTTTCCCATTGGTATTTATACTTTAAGTAAAAAATAAGTACAATGACTAATATGCCCTTATAGGGCGACTAACACATAAAACTGCATAAAAAACTTAAAAACATCACTCCAAAGGGTCCCAACAAGAGTGTTGTGGTCCCCACTTCCTATCTAAACAATTAATAAACAAAAACAACTAACAAATTTGCACAAAATCCTCAACACTCCCCCTCAAGTTGGGAGTAAATGTCACCATTCCCAACTTGCATAGGTCATGTTCAAGCTTGTTCTTTGCAACCCCTTTGGTGAAGACATCAGCCAACTATAACTCAAAAGAGACATAAGGCAAGCTGACTTCTCTGGTTGTCATCCTTTCTCTTATGAAGTGTCTATCAACCTCAATGTGTTTTGTCCCGTCATGTTGAACAAGATGGGCAATATTGATTGCAGCTTGGTTGTCACAATATAATATCATGGGTTCCTTTGCATCTATCCCAATCTCACTCAACAAGGACCTAACCCAAAGTAATTCTAAAACACCATGGGCCATAGATTGTGGGCAATATTGATTGCATCTTGGTTGTCACGATATAACATCACGGGCTCCTCTGAATCTATCCCAATCTCACTCAACAAGGATCTAATCCAAAGTAATTCTAAAACACCAGGGGCCATAGATCTGTATTCGGCCTATGCACTTGACCTAGCCACCACTGACTACTTTTTACTCTTCCACGAAACCAAATATACTTCCACAAAGGTGCATACCCCTAATGTGGATCTCTTGTCACCTAGACAACTTGCCCAATCTACATCTATATAGGACTCCAGTTTCATATTCTCATGATCTAAGAATAGAATTCCTCTGCATGGATGCTTCTTCATGTATGCAATTATCCTATTAATGGCTTTCCAATGCTGAACCCAAGGAGCATGCATATACTAACTCACAACACTAATAGCGTAGGAAATGTCCGGGCGTGTCATACATAAATATAGTAGCCAGCCTACCATCCTCTAATATCTCCCAACATCCTTAACCAACTCACCATTAAAAGCATTAATCCTATGTTCAGGCCAATAGGAGTATCAACTAATTTCACTCATAGTTTCTCAGTTTCTTGTAGTAGGTCCAATACATAATTCCTCTAAAAGATGAATATTCCATGCTTGGATCTTACAACCTCAATCCCCAAAAAATATTTTAGTTGACCTAAATCCTTAATCTCAAGTTCCTGCTACAGTGACTTCTTGAGTGCATCAATCTCCCTCAAATCATTCCCTATAACAACTATATCATCCACATACACAATCAGTACAGACACAAGTGCTTCTCTCCTTTTCACAAAGAGAGTGTGATATGATTGGGTCTATGTGTATCTAAAACGGATCAATGCCCCCCTAAATCTTTTAAACCATGCCCTAGGTCGTTGTTTTAAACCATATAATGACTTTTTTAGCCTACAAGCTTTTCCCTCACCAACATTCTCTTAGAAACTGGCCGGAAGGTCCATATATACCTCTTCCTACAAATCACCATTAAGGAGTGCATTTTTAACACCAAGCACACCCAAAAACTCTCAAAGGTATATGAAAGATCTCCCCATCTGGAAAAATTAAGACTAAATGGCACCTTAAACCTAAGTTGTGTGAAGGTATACGGTAAATCAAGTACACATCTGTGAGAAATGCATCCCCCCCCCAAAAAAAAAAAAAAAGATTAACTGAAGAATACACCATAAGACTTCTTTCCACCTCCACAATGTGTCTATTTTTCCTTTCTGCTACCCCATTCTATTGTAGTGTATAAGCACAAGTACTATAATGAATCACCCCATGCTCCAAAAAATATGTGGCCAAATCCTTCTCAAAATATTCTTTAGCATTGTCTAAGCTGAAAATCTTAGCCCTCACCCCAAACTATGTGAGAACCATCTAGTAGAACTATCACACCAAAATAGGTACCTCATCACGTAATCTCATCAAATATAGACAAGAATACCGAGTGTAATCACCCACAAACAAAAGAAAATAACGATATCCACCCATGGAAGAAATATGATAAGGTCCCCATGCATCAGTGTGAACAATATCAAAAGCAAAACTTCTTTTATTACTTAGTTTAAAAGAACGTCTACAATGCTTTCCCAACTGACAACTTTCAAACTCTAGACTATATAACTGAACAGACTCAAACAACTTTGAAAACAAACATCTCAATGAACTGAAAGAAAGATGACCCAACCGATTACGCTAGAACATAATCTGACCCATTGACTCTAATTCACTATTGCTGCTACTAACATGGTGGCTCTAATGTCTTGGAATCTGATTTAAAAGGTAGACTCCATTCACCTCACGACCACTCCCAATCGTCCTCTTTAACTCCAGATCCTACACAACACAATTACAAGGAAGGGAAGTCACTGAACAATTCAAATTTTTTGTCAGATTGCTCACAGAAAGAAAATTAGTATGAAGTCTGGGAACATGCAAGACAGAGGACAAACTAATGCCATCAGTCACCTTAACTATCCCTTTTTCCAGCAACGGGAATATGAGAACCATCTATTGTAGAGACTCTATCTCTACAAGAAAACAACTAGTAAAAACTGAAAAGGGTAGACATGTTGATTGTGTGCTCAAATGCTCCTATGTCTATAATCCAAGGCGGTCCCTCCTTACCTGAGGTGGAAATCTGCAACTGCATGTGAACTACCTATATGAGCAATGGAAGTAGTGTGACTGGCGTCTACACTCTACTGCCCTCTTAAAGAACCAGAACCAGCCAAATCCTTCTTATTCATAAGTTGTCCAAACTTTCCCAATTCAGTTCTGACTACTACCATTGCAATAGACTCCAAATTGACTTGGGTAAGATCCTGGAGTCTCCAATAACTATCACATTTGCATTTCCCTTCTTGTTCTTAACATGAGCTGGTATGAGATGTGGATGGAGCTTCTAGCAAGTGTCTCTAGTATACTTAGGCTTCCTATAGTAGTCACACACCAAATCCTTTTTATCCTCCCTCCTAATCTCACTACTCCCCTTGTCTCCATTTGGCTTAGGTTTGACTATACTAAGCATAGCCATTTGGTAAACTCCAAACTGTCTCAGCATGACATTCCTCCTATTTTCCTCTCCAAACACAAAGGCATAAGCTTGAAAGAGTCACACTCTCTTTGGAAAGGATGTGTTGCCTAAAAATATCAAATTCAGGGTTCAATCCTACCAAGAACTCAGACTTTATTCTTCTCTACCAATTTTTTGATAGGTTGTTGCACCTTTAGACTCTCCCAAACCACAGCCTCCTACCAAAGTGATTTTAGCATGGAGGAATACATAGCAAGAGGCCTATCTCCCTATTTTGTATTTATTAATCACCTAATTCCTCAACTGATAGGCTCTGGCTACATTCTTTTTCTAGGAATAGGTCTCAGTCACTCCATCCCAAATCTCCTTTGTTGTATTTGCCCAAAAAAAAAAATTCTTACCAAGACATCACCATGTAATTCTCATGTAGCCACCGAGAGGAATCTATATCAAGTTCCTTCTCTTCTCTAGTAAGGTATCCCAATTTCCCACGATCTCTAATAGCCATCTTGGCTAATTGTGCCCACTCTAAATAGTTTGTACCATCTAACTTAACTATGGTAATAATCCCAAGTCCAAAAGATTCTTCGGAGACTACTCCACCCAAGCCTCCACCCAGTCCTATGTCACTGGTTGAACTCTGCCCAATGCTCCAACCCTCCGCAATTCTCAAAATAGATTAGAAAAACAACTATAGGTGAGAAAAAATCAATTTATCTCCTTCAGAGACCTCAACCACCCTTCTAGTACTCAGAAACTTTCTCCTACCAAGATTCTTATCTCTGTGGGACCCAATAGAAACAAGAAAAAGGCTATCGCTCCCTCCAAAGACCTCAGAAATTCAATGGAACTTTGAACCACCCCTTTAGAATTCACCAAGAACTCCAAAAAATCTAGAGTGCCCCTTCCCATGTCAAAATTAAAGAGTCCTACTACAATTAGGATTCTTCCCCCTTCTCCAATTCTTCCTAATTTTGGTGATCAACCCTAGATCTGCTACAAGGGGTTCTAGATCCACCAAAAAATCCAAAAACTGGGCACTTTTGAGGTCTTCAATCAGCCCTCTAACTCATCATGTAGTTTAGTTGATCTATGGCTACATGATGGGAGCAAATAAAAGCTCAAATCCTGCTCTGATACGAAGTAGAAATCTGCAGAAATAAAAAAAATGTAGAAAAAGATGATGAAAAGAAGAGATTTTGTGAGAAGAGAGAAGAAGAGAAAGAATAGAGAAAAGAATGAGAGAGCAATCAGATCTGGCCCCCCTCTCCCATTGGTTACACTCTACAAATTTGCATTTGTACTCCTTCCAAACTGAGCCTAAGTAAAAAATAAGTACAATGACTAATAAGAGTGTTGTGGTCCCCACTTCCTATCTAAACAAATAATAAACAAAAACAACTAACAAATCTGCACAAAATCCTCAACAAAAAGCACTTTGCCTAATAAGGCAGATTCTTCTGATCCCACTCAGATGAAACAAAACATATTGCTGATATATAGTATGTCAGCACCTTCCCTGAAATACTCTAGCCCTGATTTGGGCAGTTGAATGTTCTTATCTGACCAAAGTGTATATTTGAAGCTACTCTGGATTCTGTAATATTTTGTTCATTAATCACTTCTGATTCATTTATTTCCATGTATGGATCCTTTTCTTCATGAGTATACATAATCTACCAGTGGCAACAAGTTATTTTATCAGTAAAGTAGCAAAAGGATAACGCAAAGTAGGGCAGTAGAAGACAATCATTTATCACTAAAAGACAAATTAAGCAATAAGCAATAAGTTCAGCCACTTCAGCTGCTCTTAATCAAATAGCCCCTTAGTCTAGGCATCAAGTTCAAGTTTCCAGCAATGTTGTTCTTAATAAAATCCTAACAATTTTGTAAACATAGTAACTCAAGAAATTGGAAGGCATCATAGTCTGAGATCTAAAATTATGATAAAGATAAAAACTATCACAATTTGAACTAAATTCCAATGGTCTAAAAATTAAAAAAAAAAATGCTAAGCTCACATTGATTCCTGTATTTGTAGCAGCCCAATTCTGATATACTGTCATGCCCTCAGTATCAGGATCTTTGATCTGAAAACAGACTCGACCAAATCATCAATAAGTAAATAATATATTAAATTTCTTTCATTGATGAAGAGCACCTGTGCAAATGGTGTGTTTATATTTGAGAGAGAAAGTGGTTGTTAAAAACCCATTACAAGAATATGCTTATTTAAACTAGACATGTAATTCTTAAATAACTGAAATACTTCTTACATGGAAAATTACTTGAAGTTGCAGCAATGCCCATAAATTAACATAATGACAAATTTGAGGTGTCCATATTGATTCCCCGTAAAAGATAGATTGGTGAAAATTCTAAAAGTAAGCTCAAGGTTTTTACATAAGAAAAAAGAAAATATTTGAAGCCCCCAAAACATCCAAGTGCCTTGTTGGAACTAGTTGGAAAACAATGAAAATTCATCTAGTTTAGTTTTTATTTTCATCGCTATGACCATAAGGCTCAGTTTGGCAAGAGTGCAAATACAAGCATGTTTAGTGTAAATACAAGATTAAGAAAGACAAATATGGGATTTTGCACTGAACATATTTGTATTTGCACTCATCCCAAACTGAGCCCAAAGCTCAACAACAATTTTTTCAGAAAAGTTGGATACTGGGATTAGAGGGTAATCTTTGTGACTTTTAAGGATCATATATTGAGAGGATAGCCCAGATTTACCACTATACCCTCCATGTGAAAAGAAAAGATTGCCATCAAATAAAGATTAAAGGAAAAGAATCTCACCAACTTGAACTACAATAATAAATCATTTAAATCCTTAATTTATAATATACAGGAACTAACATAACCACTCAGAAACTATTATACCAAGATGCCTATATAAGGGTGCATCATCAACTTCAATTTTTAGTGTAAACTCTGTATTCTAAATATCATTTCTTGCTGAGTTGTTTCCATATCCAGGTAGAAAAAAGGATTAGCTAAACAATTTAGCTGTTCAGCAGGCTTTGGAACCAAATAATAACACTCCACACCAGTCATAAAATACATGGGGCCCACAACCATTCAACCCTTCAGTGTGGACCCCATGTATTTTATAACTGGTGTGGAGCATTATCATTGGTTCCACAGCCTGCTATACAGCTAAAACATTCAGCTAATCCAAATTCATCCAGGTAATATAGTTCAGAAACTAGGAACAAATACTTATTTTAAAATTGTCTTAAGATTTTCTTTTGAAAAGTAAGTTATTCAACATTAAACAGGCTGATCTCAAAATGGTTAGAGGATTTGTTGCTATTTTTATTTTAGCTACCTTCTTTGCAACCTCAACAAGAACATTATCTAGTTGAGGAGTTGCACGAGCAAAAAATCCTGTTCCTTGAACAGCACAATCAACATTAAGATAAGCAACAGCTTTTGAACCCAAATTCACAAGATTCTGCTCAACCCACTCAGTAGATCCCACCTGAAGCCAGAAACATCAATCAACATATTAGTTATTACCATTGAGTAAACCATGCCCAGTTAAATTGAAGATTCCAAAATTCTGGCTTGGATAAAAAATTGAGTAAGAACAAGATGCTTAGGCCCAATTGGCCTTAATTTTGACCTTCCCCATATTGATATGAAATCTTTCAAACTAGAATTATTTAACAATTTCCTGAAACCATAGAAGTTTCTGTATGGTATCCAATTCTACAAAATAAAAGTTATTTGACAATTTTATCAAAGCATGTAAAGTCTTTGCATAATTCTTATATATATATATCGATTTATAATTTATATCTATTTTGAATTMTTTATTTTATATTTTATTTTCATTTTATTTGATTTGAATTACTTTTCTTTATCTTTATAGAGAATATGAGGTGAGGTGAAAGCGAGAGCCTTATTTGTACAAGTATAAGAAAAAGCATGATATGTCTATACCATAGCGAAAAAAATCAATCGAAGTAATGGTGACAGTTATTCCATATATTTGGATATTGAAAATCAGATTTTTGTGATTGACAATGATTGTTCTTTTCTGAGTGAATTCGAAAAATTTTTTTCTAGTTATCTGAACTCTACTTATCCAATAAAGGGATCTAAGAGTGACAATCTATGAATTTTCCTAATTTCTATGTATACTAAACTACTACAGTATCCGATATATAATTTAATAATTCATTTTTATAATTAAAAAAAAAATTAATTGCTTTATTGTTTTTTATTATTTTCTTTGTTCTATTTCCTTTTCCTTCAGATGAATCTAAAACTCCATAGTATATTATCTTTTCACGGGTTGAATCAAAAGAAAAAAGACACTTCAAATATTTCCCCATTTACTTTTTTACTTTACCTTTTTCTTTTCTGTCAGAAAAAAGTAAATTCCCTATTTTTTTGTCCCTGTTCCTAAATTCAATATTAAAATGAAATAATAGGAAACTGGAAATGAAAGTATCTTATCTATTATATATTTTGTGTTTATCTTTCAAAAAAAAAAAGACCAGAAGTATTCATAATTCCCCCAAAATATAAAAGGCCTGCATGTTAAGCTGAAACGAACTAATATTAGGATTCCAAAATATCAAAAAAAATGTAAATTACTCAAAATCAAAATGGAGCAGCAGAAATTCAAATTTTCATTTATAATTCAGAACCTTTATTTTAACAATATCATCATCATCGTTCCTACCATCTAAGCCTTGTACCAACTATATGAGATTGGGTACATGAATCCTTTTCACATTCCATTCTTTCAATGTCATATCCATTGTTAAAATATGGGCCTTTAAACCATTTCTCGCTTCCTCAAACCACATTCTTTCTGGACTGGCCCTAGCTCTTCTAGCCCCTTCAACTAGTAATGGATCATTTCTCCTTACTGGTGCTGTGAGTTTGTGAAACAACCTAGATCTGTCTTGTTAAGTTTAACAAGGATATTTATTTGGAATCTAGTGTAATGAAATTCATATACGCACTTTTGCATGTCAAGAGGGCTTAGTAAAACATGAGAGGCTGTTAAAAATGCAGATCAGGCAGTAATTTCCTAACAAGCACCATCTTGCACCCAGTGCATGGTAGAAAGATATTTTAACTGTACTGTTTTCCTAACCAATAAGGCCAATTTGAAAAGGAATGTTGCATGACGTCTTTGGACCATTAAGAAAACTACCCCATCTCATGTTATTCATGGTAGTAGAACAATGATGAAATGTAGATTCCTTACCATTCCAAACTCTTCTGCATCCCAGCTGCAGAGAATAATAGTCCTCCGAGGGGTCCATCCTAAACGTATCATGAGGGAATATCGGCGAGCAATGTCAAGTAGGGCTGCAGTTCCACTATTCGGGTCAACAGCACCATATGTCCATGCATCTCTATGGTTCCCAAGGAGAACATAGCGATCAGGTTCTTCCCAGCCCCTTATGACTGTAAAGATGTTACGAATTGTCACCATCTTTTTCTCCTCCTGGAAAGGTTAAATAAGATAATAAAATTTTAAGATAACAAAGATATGGAGAAATAATGAAACCATAGAGGATTAATAACAAAGCTATGGAGAAATAATTAAGATAACCAACTATAGAAACATCTGTTACTGTGGGAAGCAGAGATATTTCACCATGAATCTACGAAGTTAAAATAAAGAACACTGATAATCATTATCTTCCCCCCAAGGAAAGCATTAATAACCATTTTTTGATAAATAAAAGCATCTCATTTAAGGAAAAATAAGCAACCCCAGATGAACTAGCAAGCCAACAAGTACAATGCCAACGTGGCTCACACCAAAATTTACAAATTATCAATATATTTTGCACTAGAGATTACAAAGTGATTCCTAGCCTTGGTTCTCCCCAATCCAAAAACTCCTTAACTGGTCCAACCTTTGCTAATGCATTGGCCAGTCTATTTGCACTTGTAGGGATCAACTTGAATGAGGTATTCAAATTTCAACCTAGCAGATGAGACTGTCTAACTAAAGGTCTAAATTTCCATGGGATGCCCACTCTATCTTCCATCCAGTATATGATTGTCTGGCAGTCCCCTTCTAAATCAATATCAGTCCACCCCTTCATAACAATCAGTTTCATCCCTTGTATTAAGGCTTGCAATTCAGCTTCTAGGAGTCGGTTACCCCTAGGAGATTAACATATTTTATAAAACAAAAAGCAAAAAGTTTCGCGATAGGCAGACAACAAAGAAAAATGCAAGAAAATCAGTTTAATAAAGTTAATTGCCTCCTGCCAAAGAAACATGTCAATTATATATATATATATATATATATATATATATATATACCTAGACCATCCTGATTAATCAAACCTTGCATCCATTACATGTAATAATATTGTATAACTCAGAGCAACTTGGCAGTTTGACTGGGCAAAGTGGGAAACATAAGTATCCAGGTCTACTGCAAATTACCAAATTATTCAACAAAAGTCAATTCTAAATTCAGTGTATCAATAACAAATCATGCAAATCAAGTGAATCATTTCATTAATTTATTCATAATTACAGATACATGATAAGAGACTCTGCTATTAATATAACTGACAAAGAATAAACTAGATCTACAGATTACAATACCACTCATGGTCATAACAAATGGACCTAGATATTTTAAACTTGCATCTTAAACTAGGTGAATCAATGTCATGAATTTAACAAATTAATGAAATAGAATTTTGGTATTTAGATTCACCAGACAACCTAGAAATCACTAATTGCAAGAATACAAGCCCAAGAAGCAGTAAATACTGAGTGCACCTGCATTTGCATAACAAAGAAGCATAAAGACTAGCTATAATTAAAATACATGGATTATTGGAGGGTATTTTTAGTAACAAAGCACCCTCTAGATTTTTTTTTTTTATCAGTCAGCACCCTCTAGATTTGTTGTGTTTGTTGTAACACATTTAATGTGCATTGCACTATCATTCCCATTTCCTATCTATTACTATATCAAGCAAAAAGACCTTGGTAGAATTTCAGTGAGACTCCAGATGAAGATTTAAAAAATAACATATTTTCTAATGTTTCCATTTCCATTGGTACCGAGAAACTTTTTTTATCAGCAACACAAATTGGAGAAGCATTAGTAGCATATATACATTCTCTCTGATGCTTTAATATCAGTTATATTGTTTTAACATGTTTTACTTTATTGGTCATAACAATATTAGGTTTTCAGTTCATATGCATATAGATATCATCTAAAAAATTTGTTTAACATGATTCTTCTCTTTAAACCTAACTAATATTAAATAAAATATAACAAAATAATATTTACAGGCCTAATATACAACAAGATGTATTTTTATGTACCATATGACAATGAATAATGATAAAATAAATTTTTAGACCTTTAATTTTAGTTTAAATGGAAGAAGAGGCAATCTTGAAATTGTATAATTATTTTAGAAACATGTTTTATCACTTTATAGTGATATAATAACTTAAAGGGTTATGTCCTTTTGTGATTTTAAAAATATATTAACAATTATATTTCAAAGATTATTGTTTAATAATATTCTAAGATTTTTCAAAGTAATTCAACATAAAATTCCGATTTTTAAACAGTTAAAAAAAATCACCAAAACCAACATTCTGCATGCATATTTGTCAATATTGCCCATTAGTTCCCTTAATCTAAAAGACTTGGAACCATGGAAACAAGGTTCAAATTTATAATTCCAATAGAAGATAACACTTGGATAACAGTAAAAACAGTACCCTACATCAACTTCCCCACCCACCCTCTTTCCTAACAATTCCTCCACCAAGTCCAACATGCTCAGATGATCAGGCACATACAGTATTGCATGTGCCATCTCCTGGTATATAGATATGAAAATAAGTTATGAAGACTAGCACTCTTTGTAGTCCATGCTGACCTGCCCTACACTCGGTATGTGGTTTTACTTCTTGGGTTGCCTTGCAGGGCTGCATATGGTATCTGATTCAATTCAATTTAAATATATGCTCATATATACTTAAAAATTTTTATTATATCTATTATTGAAGTTGGTCTCAATGTTGCATTTTCACTAAATTATCATATGTTCAAGTTTTAGACAAGTAATTTTCAATTCATTTTGTTCATAAAATATAATATTGGAATCATTTTTAGCTCATATTATTAATAATATATAATATTTTGACCATTTTTAGTCTAATTTATTTATACTATTTAATATCCAATTATAATCCGAATTCGATTCAAATCCGCTAGATGATCCGATTCGAATTCATATGTAAACAAAGCAAATTCTTGATAAAAAAATTAAACAAAACAAATTCGGATATGCCTATATCTAATTCGATCCAATCCCTTTGCAGCCCTATTGCCTTGTACCCAACTAGTGGGGCAGTAGGAACTCAAATTGTTCCATAAAATTCATCAGATTAATGGGTCCATTCTATTTTATTATGTCAACCACCCTCGCTGGATCCTGCCAGAGAAATTAACTTCATTCTTTTTTTATTTTCCTTTTTTTTATTTAAATCTATAAAATCAAAAATAACATAGCCACAATCTAATCAATTGTCCTAATCAGAGCAAGTAAAATATTTGAATATTTGGGATAGAATATCATAAGCGTAGCCAGCGCTCACCACTGTATGGGACCAAGTGGACCCAGAACGCAGCGCTCACCGCCTCATGTTTCTCTGGGACCTCATACCATGAATTTCCATAAAATCGTAGTCCAGATGCGGGAATGCGGCGGTGAGCAGCACCTGACAAGTGACAAAGTTGGTCGTACGCTGAAGGCCCATGCCTCGCCATATGTGGTTGTCAAAGCAAAAGACGAGATGGGCACTACCTAGCAATATGCCTGTCATGCCTTCAGCCTTTGAGCAAACAATTGCCATAACGAACGAATCAAACAGAACATCAAAATGAACAGACCTAAAACCAGCAATTCTTTCTAGGGAATACGCAAGCAATCGGCGCAGTATAGAATATCGCTACATGATCATACTAAGATGCGCATAAGAAAAACATCAAACATTGTTGTCAGGCATCAATACCCACCTGGTAAGTGAAATTCACTAGCGTCGGGCCTGGACCGACCCTGCTCACCCTGGAACGTAGGGCATCACTCCTCCACTCGTAGGGCACCCGAGCCCCTTCCAGCGACCTCAAGAGAGTCTCAGCATTCTCAGCAGAGATGGGCATGGATGGAATTTTCGGGAATCTTTTCTTTACCTCTCCGTCCTCAGAACCCAGCTTCTCTCCACCTTCAACACCGGCCCAACCAGGCGTCAGGGGATCGCCCAACCCTTTCATCACCGTCCCTCTTTCCACCCCACCAAGCGTATCCCCGTCGGCGTACAATAGCACCGCCACGGCCCCTTTCTCTGCCGCCTTCTCCACCACCGTTCCCCTTGAGATCTCCCCTCTCCTGGCAATCACCACGCACCCGGTAACTTCCACCCCCAGCGCCTCCAGCTTACGGTAGTCCTCTTCACCACCGTAGTTAACAAAAACCGCCTTAGCGAAGGCCGACCCAGATGGGGAGTATGCATGGTAAGGCACCACAACCTTACCCACATGACCAGCTTCAGTCAAGGACAGCTTCTTCCACGTCCCGTCTCTAAAATGCAGCGAAAGTGAGGCATGCGCAGGATAAGACAGCAGAGCTTCGAACTCTTCCGTGTGTGTCTCGAGGCCCAAATCCCTGAAATGGGTTTGCACGTATTCGGTGGTCTGTATTGCAGGTTCGGTGCCGGCGAGGTGGGGGTGAACGGTAAGAGCTCGGAGGTAGGAAGAGATGGTATAGTTAGTGGATGAAGCGAGGAAAATTTCTTGAAAACGAAGGGCATTTTCGGTACTTCGGACGGGTGTCCTTGTGTGAGTGTGGTTTAGGGTATACAGCCCTAACATACAGAGAAAGATCACAAAAATTAGGGTACAGGAATAAGAAGATGGAAGAGCAGTAGAAATGGCGGCGTGTTTGGAAGCATGTGGCGAGAGAGACAGAGCCATTTTTTTTTTTGGATTTCCTCACTAAACAAAGAGCTAACAGAGGGATTTCTACATAGAGAAAGAGAAAGAGAGAAAAAAGCTAGGTTGCTTCACCGAAATGTTTGATCGGAGAAGAATTTTCCGACAACTGATAAGAGCTTTTGGTGTCTGTCGAATTGAATGCCAGTATCGAAGTGGAGTCTACTGCTGAATTAATGGTTATGGTAGTGTAATATAATATACTACAAAAAAGTGAAGATCTGCTACCAACCAGAGTCCCAACCATTAGGTCCAAAGTACAGTTGCGTAGGTGACAAAAGGAAATGTTTCCAATGTGCGGCTAATTGTTGGGAGCGTTGTGTTCAGATCTCTATCCCTACAATAATCTATATACACAATAAAATAAGATATATTATGCATCAAGGATTTCTTTTTCATTATTATTTATTAATTTTGTGAATTTTATGAATTTTTATTGAGTAGAATTGAAGAAAAGTCAAGTAGTCAATTAAATTTTATACTTTTACTATTGGGACTCGTGCAATATACATGATTGATTTATCAAGAAAAGTGAACTAATCAAAACTTATAAGGAAAGAATGCAATATTCTCTAAAATAATTAAATTTTTATTTTAATAATTTGTTACACAAATGTTTTATAAATTTAATAATTTAGTAATTTGGATTAATTATCTTAATATTTTTTAACAAAAATAATATATTATTACTAGTTACTTAATAAAATGATTGTTTTTTATATTATTTGTTAGTGTTTTATTTTATTTAGTTTACTTTATTAATGATTAAATGTTTTCGATTTTTTGTAAATATTATTTAAAGATTAGTAAATATATAAAATTAGGCTATAGCCATAATTAATTTAATCTATAGTTAACTTTTTTAGTCATAATTGAATTATTCTAAGTCCAAACTTAATGTTTAAGGCTTTAGACTAGGCTTGGATTCACCCTCATCCTGACCTAATCCACCCAAGTTGCATGCATCATAACATTCGTAATTGGACTGAAACAAACCAAGTGCAACTCTTGCATGCATTATTTCTATGGTTTTTTAACTATTTTTAGATAATATTGAAACCAAAGAAGTTATGAAGGATAGACTATCCCCATTGTGTAGCCTAATGAAAACTTTGATAGTGTATTAGTAGTTTTTAAGGTTGTTTGGTATATAATAATATTTATCATATATACATATAACTTCCAAGTTGAGCTTATTAGGGGTTGCTTAGCTTGGGCCCTATCCACTAGGGTTGTTAATGAATTCCAAAAGTTCGATACCCAGTTAGATTTTGGATCAGATTATCCCATATTTGGATTTTAGAACTTGCATATGATTAATAATATATATGGCAACAGACATCCAGATTTTCTTATCTTTTACTAATTTATAGGCTATATTAGTTTCTTAGGACATATTTTTTAGGCCAGCTCCTATGACCAACATCGTGTCTTAGTTTTGAAGTTGAACATTAAGGGGATGTCATTAAAAGATTGTTGGATTTTAATCTCATAAGAGACTAAATCCAATGGGTTTGATTTGTCAATTACATGAGAAATTGCACCTACACACTTGATTGAAAAATTAGCTTTTTTCTTGCAAAACCCAGTTTTGAACTTGTCCCACATTGAAAAACTATAAGCTTTGTTTTTAGTATTTTAATAGGAGCTGATTTACACTCCTTAGAATTAGTAGAGGAGAGTATGGGGGTTCGATACTGCGCAACGCGTGCGCACGCGTGTGTGCGGCGCAATGAGGTGCTTTAGAGGCGCACTTTGCTCGCACTTTGCGTGCACCCGCGTGGCTCGCGAAGGCTGGCTTTGGTTTTGGTGCGATGTTGACCGTTGATGAGATCAACGGTCACGATTCGATCGGGTGTGATCAAGAGGCACAATTCAAAGTTAACAGTCATTAATTGTTAACTACTTTTTAAGCAATCATAATGTTTGAAATTGTGACTGTTCAAGGTGCCTTCTCTGAACCAACACCTACCTTTTCTTCATACATCTTCATAAACTATTTAAGGAGCATGAATCAGACTCCAAAAACACACAATTTTGAAATTCACTATCTCTCTCTCTCAGTCCGGTCTGCTACAGTCTCACAGAAGGTTTCTTTGGAGACTCTTCAACTTTGCTGGTTGCAGATTCTCGCCCAAGACTCTGTTGTATCCAAGGAATGGATTTGCCTGTAACCCAACAACAAACTCAGTGAAACTGAGTGGGAGCAAATAACGTTCTAAAGACAGTGTCTTCAGACACGCCTTAGAGCTTATCCTCCAAAGTTACAGTGACCCCATTTCCCAACAAAGATTTTGTGAAATTCCTTAGAACTTTCCCCAAACTTTTTGAAAATTTCTATCTTGTGAAGATCTGCCCTCATTATGATAATGTGTCCTCTATCCCCTACCTAAAACAACTCTCATCCATACAATAACTGTCTAGGAGTTCCCATTGACCACCCTCTTGTACCAAGGCAAGCATCAATCCAAGCCCTTGATGATTTTCCAATATAATATTTTTTCTCTAAGTGAATCAGTGCAGACCATTGACCCTTAGTAGACTAATATGACCTCTCTTTAGTAACCTTCGAACCACCTACCTATACCTAAGGAACCTAGATTCCTAAGGGAGTTAACTAACCATTAAAGTTGAGGTTAATCAGTCCTTGGGAAGCCCAAAAAGGAAGGAACTCAAGCATTAGGAAGATGGTGGATAAAGTGGGGAAGTACATCCAAACTTTGGAGTTTTATATTGATTAGGATATACCGAAAAGGTTAAAAGAAAAATTATGTAAGATAGTTGTAAGGTAGACATGTTATACGGGGCAGAGTGTTGGGTTGTCAAGAAGCAACATATTCAAAAAAAGACTAGTAAACATCGGGTTGTTGAGATGGGTTAGTGGAAAATCAGGAAGGGTGGGATTAAAAATAAGTTTATTCATAGGAATTTAGGAGTTTCCTTGACAGATGATAAAATGAGGGAAGTCTAAAAGAACTAGGGGCAGTAATTTATCTCAAAAAAAATCTCTTGATTCTTTTAAGCTTTTTTTCAACTTTGGTGCTCTTGCACTTTCTCTCTCCTTGTTCACTTCACCTCCCACTCAATTTCGGTTACTTGAATGTGTACTTATTTAGTTGTTTATCAGATTGTTTCTGTATTCGATTGGTGAACCATTCTGTATTGATATCCTTGTGTTAAACAAACCTCTAAGGATAAATAAATAAAAAGGAAAACAATGAAAACAAGTCTGGCACTAATAATTGCTGAAGAAGCAGCTCTAGAGATAATTTCCTATATGAAATTTGAAATACCATATTTTATTGTCTCAAGAATACATGGTACGTACTCTTCCATACTGAAGTTTTTGTTCTCTCGAGTGGGTTGTTTCATAATAGCTATCTTTTGATTGATCTGCAATGCTTCACATTTTAGTAATTAGAAGTTTTTTTTCTACTTTTGTGATTAAGAAATATGGGAAATAGGATATATTTATGAAAAAAATATGAAAAAAAAGTTATATGTATATGGTGCCATCAATCATGCCAGGCTTGTAACTACCCCCTTTTAATTGGTATATTTCATTCTAAACAATGGTTGTTACTTCAACTTATTTCTGGTGGAAAAGCTATATTCTTGCTCGAGGGCTTTGGGATGAAAAGTTTCTCATAGTCAGAAGGTGAGGTGTTGAAAATTGGGTAGGCAAGTGATGGTAAGGGCCCAAACTTTCCATGCTTCCCTGTGGTGAACAAAGAAAATGGAGAAATAATTGGATGGAATCTATTCGGGTTATGGTTGAACTGGTCCCAAATGCCACGTGTTACCTCTGTGGCCATCTTATCTCTTCGGCCATGTTGGAACCATGTCATGTGGATAAATGCAACCAAGATAAGAGATCATCATACGAATGAGGACAACTCCGTTGGTGATTAGGATTTATCCCGAAGACCTCAACGGGCAACCCCATCCCGACAACCTCGGAAGCCTCATCCGATTAGGACACGGATCTCCGGCTATAAAAAGGCACTTCCCACTCAAGGTAAGAGACCCAACTTTTGACTTCCATACTGTTACTCTGCTCGAACCAGCACCATTCTCTCAGCTGCTCAGCCCGACCAACCACCCATTCTTGATTAACTTGAGTGTCGGAGTACCTACCCGGGGATAACTCCTCGGGCCTCTGACTTCGTTCTTGGTTTTAGATCTTGGAGTGTGGCCTCATCCTTCCACCTCGGCTCTGTCTAGTTGGCAAGATTATCTGACTGCAACCTCGGTTCAAAAACTACCTCGGATTGAGCACCATCAGATTGGCATCGTCTGTGGGAATCGCACCAAAAGCTATTCCAAACTCTCTCTCTCTCTCCGCACAATCAAGAAAGATGCCAAGAAATACATCTGAATGCTCAACAGGCCGATCCCCATCTCGGGGATCCCGCTCTCATCGTAGCCCTCCACCGTGCGAGTTCCAGCATAAGCCTCAGCCCCAAGCCATGGTCGACCCCGCCAGTTCTAGGCGATGCAACAGAAGGTCGATCAGATCTTAACAATGATGCAGACATTGTGTCCTACACCGCAACCTCCTCAAGCCATCCCTCCCCCTGCACCGATGCTTACCACGGCTGATCCTCGCCCTGAGGACCCCAAAAAGTGTCGGGCAGACAGAGGCAAGGTGCAGTCTAACCAAGAAAGGCAAACATCAAGAAGATCGGGCTCCTCAACCCGGTCCCGTGAACATAACAACTGTAGTAGAACACACCAATTTGCCTGAATTCCGACGAAAGAAAGGTTTGGTGGATGGATGCAACAACAACTGGTCTCCATCGCCAAGTCCAGTTCGGTCAAAGATTGCCTAGCACCACCCAAGAAAGAAAAAGTCATGTCTATTGCAGCCCCGGGCAACAAGGATGCAGAGATCAGAGAACTTCGACAATGCCTAACCGAGTTGGAGAACAACCCCTCCCATGGTACAACCCATAGAGCTGAACAGCCAACCCGCCAAGGAGCCGTCCTTCATACAGGGTATTGTGGACGAGCTCCCCCTAGCCGGATGGCAAGCACTGCAGTTCGAGAGGTACGATAGATTCATGGACCCCAGTGACCACATTGAGGCCTTCAAAGCCAAAATGATGTTGCACGGCTCGTCCGAAGGCTTGATGTGTAAAGCTTTTGCAGCAACTCTCAAGGGAGTGGTTCTGACATGGTACTCTTCCCTTCCCCACGCTCTATCTCCTCTTGGGAGTAGCCAAAGAGCCAGTTTTTGGCACAATTCATAGCCAAGCAAAAGCACTGGAAGACTTCGGCAAGCTTCATGCAGGTGTGCCAGAGGAAGGGAGTGTCCCTCAGGGAGTACCTGGCAAGGTTCAACATCGAAG